TAATAGTGTATACGTTACACCATTACGTGATTATGTAAACAAACTGGTGAACTGAACCACTTCATTGAAATTAACTGTTCGAAAGAAGCAGTTCATGGAAAATAATCGAATTCCCTTTTGCCTGAGGCGGTGGATTACAGTAATAATGATCAGTTTTAGAGATGTCACGATTCCTCAACATCATATATTCAGAATATAATGGACATAATGCTGTTAATAGAGCTCAACTTATATTGAACCGAAACATTCCTTTAAAACCTGATGGGATGTGTTAATCTGCATTTATGTGCATGAACTCAAGACCTTCCCTACAGCACAGATCAAATAAAAGCCAATCACACCTCGTCTGCTGCCTTCAGATAATGAAGGAGTCTTGGACGTCACACCTGGGGCATTTGCAAGACATCATAAACCTCTTAAGCACCATTTTTGCACATCTTTAAACCTGGTGGAGAGTTTGTTGGCCTTTAAAGTCTGGTGTGAAATAACTGAGCAGTTCTTAACAAGCTTCAACACTCTTCCTGCTTTTAGATCTCCATGCAAACACAGTCACACACCTGTTGCTGCACATTTCCCCATAGTCTCTGGGCTCGAAACACACGGCTGTTAAGTTTACAGCCAAGAGACTTATTCGCTGGAGGTCAAAGTGTCGTTTAGTACACAGGGAAACTGCTTTGTCAAGCTCTTAAAAAGCCATGCTTAGGTTAGAACAACCCCAGCGAGACATCATCACATGCCAGTTTGTCCTGTTGAGAATTTTCACAAGATGGATCAGCTGAATTCACTTTATTCATGTATAGACCTGCACAGAACAAGAAACCAGTGAATTTTCCAGAAAGCTCATGGAATTTTACAGAATTTGAGTTCCACCTACTCCGTATTTTCACCTAGAATCAGCATTGAAAACATTGTTGATTCTGTGCACTGCAGGTCTATCATAGAAATGGCCAACGAATCGTTTCGACATGAATAATACTTCAGACAAGTAATAAACTGTAACTTGAGAGTTTATCTTTTTTAAAGTACCTCACTTTCAGACCTCAGATGAGCCCAACAGCTGTTCGTCTCTTCCAGTTGTACAAACAGGACTGTGAGACCTTTGGAATAGTGGTGAAGATGCTTATATCCAAAGACCCAACTCTCAAACCGACGCGCCTGCATAAGAACCTGGTTGAAACCGGGGGAAAATACTTGGAAAACCTCACCTAGTTTACTTCTGAGGTGAATGCATCGGTCAAACTGAGCCAAACCAAACCAGACAAACCCAGCCATGATCCATAAGCTGACCATGAAGCACACTACAAAACTGTCTAGAAGTAATGTTTGTTTAGTTTTTGCCAATATAGCTTTCGTGTTATTCAGCACAGCTGTCCTAAAACCATTTTTTAGGCTTTTAGTTCAAGAACCACACATTGTTTATCTTATGTGACTATAATAACTATACTCAGAAATGTTGTATTTTTGCTGTTATGAGATGATAAAGTTTTGAAAGGTGGCCCAAGCATGCAACATGATCATTAAATAAAGTGTTATCATATACTCAAACAGTGTTTGGTGTTTCCATTGTCGTTTAGCTTACCTTTGTCCTGCTGTATATACAGGCTCAGTGTGCATATACGAATTTAAAAGCTTTAAAAAGCTGTGCTTTGACACAATAAAAATGTCAATGTCAGTCCAAGATGTCAATCTACAGTACATGTGCCAACAGACCCACAATAACAAAATATTTCAGACAGAATACAAGAACACATTCTGTGTTAACAGCCTGTAAAATCCCAGACTGACAGACTCAACTACACAATGGATTGATGTGGACAGTAGACGTAAAGACAGATAGTAGACACAAAATGTGCATGTATATATTTATATATATATATATATCATTTTTTATTATTAGCCTTATTGTTCCAGTTTGCATTGCATACAGATTACAGTGATCTGTCTGTATAAGCCATCAATAAAATGACACCCGAACAAACTTTGGATATACGTAACATACGTTTTGTAGTCAATGTTTTAGTACAAATTGAGCAGCTACGCTAACCAAATGTTACATAGTTATTTTTAAAACCCTGATTAACAAAAGTGGAGTCACTGCAAACCTTTGTTCTTTAGTACTTTTTCAGTAAAATTCTTAAAAAAAAATTTTTTTGTAATTCAGGGATATAAAAAAATTAGCTTTAACTGAACATTTTACAATATATACATAAATTTTTGCAAAGTTAAATTATTCTCTCATTTAGTATCTAAAAGCGGCTTCATAAATATTATATTCTTCAGGTTCTTTCAAAGACTATAATGACTTATCACCTAACATGCATTACTGCAGCAGTTAAGCATGGTTTAGATACTGCGTTGGCCATCAATGTCACTGCATGGCAAGACCACTGCAATATGTCCTGGATAGCCATGTGGAACAAGTTGTATTCTAATTCAAAGTAATAGCTCAAAGCACGTTCCATAATGAAAAAAGGTTTCAAACTTCCTTCCCAATTCTATGAAATTATGCAGTTTTTGCCCTTCCGTCCTCTCTTCTGTTTGGACTTTGTCCTTGTGCCAAAGGGAAGTTCATCAGTGTAATATTGGTACTGAGGTTGTCTTGGTTGTGGAATAGGCTGGCCCAAGAAAAAGCCTTCCTCCTCTGATTCAGATGATGAAGAGGAGCAGGTAGAGCACCAGTCATCTTCATCCCCGTAAAGGCGTAAAAACCTCTCTGCCGCCTGGTTGTGCAGACCGTACTCCGAGTCAGTGTGAGCATAGGAAGGCTGTCCGTAGTGAGAGTTAAGATCTGGCCCATGCTGCAGACGGTCCTCCTTGAAGCACCTATGGGCCTTTTCCTTGGGTACCAAGTGAAGCGCGTTGTCCGAACGAGACTTACGACTCCTTTGTCTGTGGTGATGCCGGTGGCGCTGCTGGTCTTGCTCGTCAAAGTGGTATGCTCGTCTCCGAGTGCGTTCGCTCATGGGAGGCTGCCGCACCTCCAGGTCGTCATATCGTCCATTATCCACAACATCATCTGAAAACTTCACCTGTTGTGGTTTGGACTGGGACTTGGACCTTCTTAAGACAGGTAAGTGAGGTGGTTTAGGCCTCTCCTCTGGGAGCGGAACTACCTGCTCCTGTTCCTCCTCTTCAATGACCTCCACACACTCGAGTTCAGAGGTGAGGCTCTTCAGGGAGTTGGTGCTCCTGTGCATCATTGATGAATTCAGTGTCCCCATGTTGCTGCTGTTCTCAAAGCGTTCAAGCTCAGAGAACTTTTGTAACGAGTAGAGCAACGGTCTGTCTTTAATATCCCCATCAACTGAAGCACCTGAAAGGATTACAGATGTCCAGATTACACAACAGTGCAAAAAAATACATTCAGTAGTCTAATTTAAATGCCATGGCATGCCTTATTTTCAAGGACAACATCCCACCAAAGATGCAAAACTCTATAGATTTCCTCAGATTTCCCCCTCAATTGTCTCTCATACTTCAGTTTGCACTCAAGAATATCAATTGTATATTGATCCTTTAGTCTCACCTGTGATGTTGGAGAGCGCCAGGGAGTCCATTGAGTCTCTGATGTTCTGCTCAGCTTGCTTCAGTCCATCTGTGATACACTCCAATGAGTCATTATACCACAGTATGTGTTTTCAGAATGTGGAAAGAGACAGTTTAAAATCTCAAGCTCAGCTGGATCCAACAAATCAGACTACACTGCAGCAAAAGTTAAAATTCTCTCAACTTTTGGTTGCATGACAGTGTGTCAGTTTGGCAAACATCCTACGCTCATCCCCATTGAAATCCAAGCATTCTCTGATGCAGTGCAAGCTTGTGTGTAGGCACTTTTAAGCATGTCCAGGAACTTTTGCTTAGACCATCTCTTAGTCAATTTGGTGAGTAAACAATATTTTAACACAAGGAAATTTTACACATCTGGATTTCAAATTAAACGACACACTGAAAAACACAAGCTATGCGTGTTCAAACTGTGATGCCACAATGCCACAGATAACAATAAAACAGCACTGATCCAGAGCAATGTCTCAAGGCTATCAGACCGCAGCAATGAAACACCAAAGCATTGAGGAAAGTTCACTGTTAAATGTTGTGGAGGCAAGATTCCAGTAAGTTCTAGACTTTCATAAACCCATAGAGATCGTTTTACCTGCTCTGGCCGAAGTCCCGGTGGCACCCAAGCATATTCTTCCAAGGCGCAGCCAGAGTCGTCATCTGAGGTGGAGCTCCGCTGGAAGCCGAACGTGAGCTTGTTGACCTTCGGCTCCATGTCCAGCTGCCTGATGGCACTGTGGAAACCACCAGAATTCTCGACGTTCATCAGAAAGACCTCCTAAAGAGGGAACAATATATCATGGATCATGAAACCACATGACAAAATGGCTCGCATGACACATTGGATTTGGATGAGAACAGAAACGCAACTGGAATAAAGCAGCATCCCAAAACATTTAATGGCCATTACGGTGACTTCCAGCCCGGGGTGGAGGCCTGCTAAATAGATTCTGCTCATAAAACTATGGCAGTTTTATTGTTACTGCTATTGTGCCGAGGTTTGCCGTGATGTGGTCAGACATTCCTTTCAAACTTCAACCATCCTAACTCTTTTACAGTCTATTTACTGTAATGCATTTTCCTGACTCATCATCACCGTGGAAGCTTTCTGATATGTTCCATTTCCTTCTACTGGGACTCTCTTCTGGTTAAGTTGAGCAGTAATGCATGCCATCTATGATTTTTCCCAACAACATAGTTTACTTGACTCTGTTAAGAACTCTTTCAGCTGAAACAGACAACTTCTCAAGACAAGATCTCTTGCGTTCTTCCCTGTCACTCCTTTGAAGTCCTTTCGGGACACAAAGCATAACAAAGCCATATGGTAATGCTTGGAAACCATGTCTTTTTCAAGCCCCTGTGCTGTTTGTTGAGGACAGTGTTTTAGAACCTGCCACACTGCATCATGTCCTGCTGAGTGACGTATCATCTGATGCTTTGATCTCTGGAGCTGCTGCTTTTGGAATGAAAACAGGTGAGATGGATGGACTGAACCGGCTGACAGGTGTTAGTTTCTCATATACAGCAATTTAGACTGGTTTGAGAAGATAAATCCAGATACGTGCATCAACACTGAAAGGGTGAATCTCGCAAAAAAAGTGCCAAGAAATGTCAGATCAAATTTCAAACCAATGAGAATCACTGGATCTTTTTTATTTGGCAGATACTAAGAATTAGGAAGAGGGAAATTGTGCTTACTTCTCATGAAACCTAATGCCTCAATATGGAAAATGTTAATGAGAAAATGTTAAAGAGATGGAATATGGGGCAGACGTTTCTTTGGAAGTAAGCTGAAAAGAAAATGCACACTCAAAATAATTAATCTTCCATGTTATGACTATCCTAGCAGGTCAGAAGTAAAAAGAGCATCACTAAAATCCCTTAAAACTGATTCACCATAGTAAACTTTACTAAAGTTTCACAAGAACACCATACACACGTTATCAGAAGGCTCAACTATAAATTCATGCTGGGTGAGTGTACTGAACTGCAGTTAAATTGATGTTTTATCTGTGCCACTTCACATTTGAGATTTTGTAGCAAATGCAATAGTTTCAGACCCCCTCATGATGGGGGAACAACTGAAATGACCCAACATGGTTTTCTGTTCAGGCCTGAAATTCTCTTCAGTTAAATTCTGTGAAAATCATACAGACACCCTGACAAAAGCACTACAAAGTGACCCAAAGTGTTTGAAGACTGTGACTTCGTTACCCAGGTTTTACTTCATTTTGGGCTTTTGAATAAAGGTTCCTGTAAGAGACTCCTCAATCATTAACCTGGTTTTGTAATTCTAGCAGAAGAGATATATTCCCTGCCATGTTAACTCTTCCTTCCAGTGGTGCAAAATTCACTAGGACATGATATTTTCTTCAGAGGAAGTCGCTGATACAGGAAAGGAGCTCAAAGTGGCAACACCCATTCTGCCAAACAGTCTCCCTAAGTATGCTAATTTCTGTCTTAGATGCCATCAGCATCACTTCCTGAGCCTCCAGATCTAATCAACAACCCAAGTGAAGAGAAACTGCAGTATTGTTTCATCGAAAATAAACAGCCATTTTACGATTGAGCGGTTCTGAGTGAATCGCAGGGACCTCGGGGAATCCAAGGCAGTTCCTTGCCCTGAAAAAGCCCTCCAGCCCTAACCAGTGGTTAACAGCCTGCTCTCTTGTAGAGCTGCTTGTTAACATGACTTTGGAGGTTTGAGATGCATATCTGTTAGATCCACCCACAGGAGGCCTGAATGGCCCTCAATAGGGGGTAGATGGGTGGAGGGTGAGTTGCCTGGGGAGGGGATGGACCTGGGTGATCACATAGGGGTAACTGCCAGTGACTCATATGGTAATAGACCCTCAGCATAGCAAAGAACCATCTGACTTCTAGGGAATAAATGCATTTTATGCATTTTTATTTTTACTCTAAATTATGCATTACTTAACATGGCTAATAAAAATCATACGACTGCTAAACACAATGCAAATGAACGCTCTGACAGAATCATTCGCATACGTGTCCTGAGGATACCAGGTCAAGACCCAACAAATCACATCTTGAATAGCTCATTTCCACACTTTAGAAGAACTGTCAAGTTGTAATTCTCACAGAAATAGCATGGGTTAAACCAGATACAATTCGTTTTCTGCAAGCATAGTGGTAGTTAGGCCAACAAAATCAAGTTTTGAGAGATAGTAAATGAGACTGTTTTGAACATAATCCCATTTTTCTCAGCTAAATTAGTCAGAATGACACTCTGATGATTATGAATGGCGTGTGTGTAAAAACAAGCCTTCATTAGGCCCAGTAAATGTGGAAACGTTCATACTGCGGCCCGTTCGGCAGATCCGCTGGCACTGATGCCGCTCCATTAGTCCGGCCCGTCAGGACCTGTTTGATTTGGCCCGGTCCAGATCTGAGTCAGTGCTGGAATTCTGTCTCTTGATTTAATGTTAAGAACAGCAGAACTGGCAGACGATGTGAGCAATTCCTGTGCACCAGAAATGAGGAGTTTCTCTCCACGGCTGTTGCGCCAGTAATAAAACTTCAATCCAACAAATACAGATGTTAGTTATGACATGTCACTTCCAAAAACACTTGAATACAAAAGCATCTTTGAATCTTCTAAAACAAACAAGTCCAAAACTACAGCAAACTAGAACTTTTCTAGAACCCCCCCCCAAAAAAAAATGTTGGGGGAAAAAATGAAAATGAATTCTGCATTGCCATGCCGTTCATTAGAATTACTAGTTTTCACCCTCCAAAAGACATTTAACTGCTATCTGAAAAACATATTTATAAACGTATTTCCCATTAAAATGCTCTAATCATACAAAAAAAATAAAAAATAGAAACAGAAAAGAACAAATAAACCCAATGAATGTTTTACTGAAAGTGCTATCAGAGAATACTAGATGTTAGAAACAGGAAGGACGGCAGTGTTTCAGCATTTGGGTGATCCTCCCAAACTTTGAAGGACTTGAGTGTTATTCCAGGACCAAATGGTTTCAAGGCTTGTCCCAACAGTCTGAAGACCACCTGCGTTCTGACCCGCTGGAGCCAGATGAATAGAAGCGTCTGATGTTTACCCAAAACACACCTCTCTGACACCTTTTTCTTTTCAACAGACCATTATACACATGCAGAGTCTTCAAATCTGAGCTGCGGCTACAATTAGACCTAGATCTGAACCTTATAAAAGCTTCCAAATATAACTAGAAGAAGTAGGACGTGACACAGCAAAATATAGGTTAAATGATTCACTCCCAGCCCCTGTTGGAAAGACTTTCAATGTGATACACAAAGAAAAAACCCAACATCGACCTTACCTTCTCGCTCAGCAACGTCTTCAACCTATTCAATGCTTTCCAAATTAAACCGTGCTCGCCAAAAGCCCCGTGGTTCCTTGACTACATGTTCTCAGTTTGAGCCTCATCCCATCTAAATCCAAAGCAGACGTTGTCGTGTAATTCTCGTGCACGTGTGTGAGTCGGCGGCACAGGACGTGTACAGTAGAGTGTTTGGAGAGCAACTCCAGCAGATGGCTCTTCCATTTACTGCAGTCCTGTGGAGCCACTCCCCCAACAGCCCGAGCTCGGCCCTCAGCGTGGGCTCCAGAGCCTCTAAACCAAACCCCCTTCCTTCACTTCAAACACACTTCACAGGACATCACTGGTCAGTTTCACCCACCCCTTCCTCAGGATTCTTGAGCAACTCATTTTTTTTTTTCTGAGTGTGAATACACCCAACAAATCACTAATTTCTTATGCATGCAAATGTCATGTCAGTGTTATCAGAATCAGGTGTTATAGAGTCTGAAAAATAAACTTGTTTCCCTTTGAATTAAGTTGATTTTTCTGACCCTACTGACCAATTGTTTTCTGGTTTTAAACATAAGAAATTGGTCAAAATTAGGTGGGTTTGTTTTAAATTAAACCACCGATGGGATCAGAAACATTTCCTTAATTCAATGGAAAAACAAGTTTATTTTTTGGACGCCACTGGATTATAATTTATCTTATTTTAATCATAAATTCACTTAATTTTAAACAATTTCTTAGAAGACAAGACTT